GCTGCATCCCCAGTCCTTTTTTGAGAAAGGGACTCACTAAATTGTCCTGAGAGGGCTCAAACTTGCGATCTTTCTAACTCAGCCTCCCAGAGTGTTGGGATTACAGCTGTGTACCACTATCCCCTCCGTCAAGAAGCCTCAGTAATCCTCATTTTGCAGGGAGTGTGACCTCAGTTCACATAATTAATAAGCAATCAATTTTTCAGTAACCAATACTTTAATATTAACTACCTATGAACCACTCCATACTGTACTGTGGTTTAACTTTAATTAAACTGGAGTTAAGAGAAAATAAGGAAGAGGATATTTTGTTTCCTGGATTCAAAAAGGTCTGTATTCCAAATTTTACTCATTTGAATTACAAATACATATCTGCGTTGTGCCTTGATGTCTTCAAGTATATTATGGTTAGTACTCAAACAAGCACTAATATTAGCCTTCTATTACTCAAAAAAACAAAAACATTTTTGCAGACAACACTCAAGAGAGATCTTTGATGCGTGTTATAAACATTCATGCCTGTGAGACCGTTGGTAACGGCGAGGCCAATCTCTCCATTCATGCACAGAAAGATCTGGCTTAACACAGAGTCACTGTTCTGACAGAGGAAGAGACAAAGCACTCCTCTGAGACTTCCGCCAACTGGCACAGGTTACATTGAATGAACAATACGTACTGACATTTGTGTCTTCCACAATTCATGATAAATAAGCAAACTGGTTATTTGTAATCAGCCAAACTTGCTTCTTTGAAAAGGCTGCTACTGGACGTTGCAGTGCTCATGTTCCTTCCCAGTATTAGAAAGGAAAAAAATCAAGTTACATTTATAGCTAGTTTTATAGTTTCAAGCTCTCTTGTAGCAATTACATCTCTTTTTACAAAAGCAAAAGCTAAAGTATTCTCAAGACTTAAATTAACTACCCTACTTTAGTTCACAGTAACTTTACAGTAGTTTGGTTTTTATCATCCCTGTAACTAATGAAAATAGACTCCTATTAAATTTAAAGCTAGTTTATGTAAAACTGATAAGTTATACTGACATGTATTAATATCCAACCAACATTTTTATGTTTAATAATTTCCTACAGATTGTGTAGCTATGACTTTTGTTCATATTTTCAAAAGGACCTGCTCCTATCCTTGTTATACACAGGGCTTTTCCAAAGTGCACAAAACTAACACAAACCTTAAACAAAACTTCCAGGACAGTTAGAGTGCTTGTTTATGTCTCATCTCCCACAAAATTAAGGGTTGTAAGAGACAGATAATTGTGGGACACAAACTGTGAGTGTGAACCCACGCGGAAGGCTTTACCTTGGCTTTCTGGTACTTAACCTTTAGAGAACTGCAACAAAGAGCAGTCACTTCACTGTCACTATGGAAATAAAGGAAATTAGACATCTCACAACACCAAAAGAAATAAATATGAGAAAACGGAGAAAATTTTAAACTAAGTCACTTTAAGTACTTCTACTTAATATTTGACTGTCAGAGGTAAAAAGTTCAAGAGCTTAAAATGAGAAGAAAAGGAAAAGTAGGGATATACTAAACTGGTCTATCATATAATTAAGCAAAACAGCAAAATATTCTGAGAAAATACATTGGCCTATCATTATGTGCAGCAGTCTTCAATTAACATGTTAAGGAAAGTATAAACTGTGATCCTTAAAGGCTACAGTGGCATTTACATAGCTACTTGAGAAGACACCAACACACATGCATGTATAGAGTGTATGTGCTTTCTTATGAACTACAGTGAAAAAAAGGCAAAAAGTTTGTGTCACACTATATTTAATTGTCTTTAGCCCACACATTTATTAAAGTAGTGGGATTTATTATGGGTCTCCATTTTAATGTCACCACATCTCTTACTGAAAATCTTGACAATTTACTATCAATTTCTGCATTTTAAGAACAAAGGCCTCACTGTTGGCCATAAATATCCCCTTTCATGATAGCCTAGATTCATTTCAAACAGCTGATTATAAATCAGCAATCTGACTGCATTCGTGCCAAGAAGAAGTTACAGAAATTTGAAAACTGAGCTAAAAACCTTTGAAGAGAAATTTACTTCATATTAAAAATCCTTGGCACACTATGGTAAGAGTTCAATTTCTATTTCCCCTGGCTAACACCTTATTCTTTCTGTCTCTCCTATCACACTATTATTTCAGAGTCCCTGAATGTGGCCTCTCTCCTCATGCTACCACAAAATTCCCAATAACCAACTGTCTACAGTAGCAGTTAATATCCGAGACTCTCATGTGGCAATTAGTGAGTGACCTTGTAGACTGTAAATGAAAAAATGTTCAATTTAAAGTGATTTTACTAAGTTTAAGCTTCACCCAAAAGAGCATACTTGAACTAAAGATTCAACTAGCTATTAATAATATACATTCCTACCTGTAAAGCAAAGGAATAATTTTCCAACAAAAATAAGTTCATTTTTTAATAAAATAAGTTTTTAAGTTCAGTAAGTCGATTGTGAGACTGCTAGACATGTGCTTCTTATATCTTAGAAAAATCAGATGCTTGCAAGCATGGTCTCCACTTTTCATCAGTAAACGTAGCTTCAGTAAGGGAAACGGAAACTAATTTAAACATTTAAAAGATGAAAGATAACCAAAAAAAAAAAAGATAAAAAGATAACCAATTAGCTCAATGTAGTAGAGTATTTGCCCCCGTAGTTAGAAAGGTTTGTAAAACATAATTCACTCTATTAGTTTGGTAAGAGCTGACTCCATTTCAAGTAGCTTTGATTATTCTATTTCTTTTTCTGAGTTATCCAAGTCTTTTTCTTCTTAAAGAACATAAAATTCTGTTTAAACAAATTTTATTTGCAGACAGTTCTACTATACTTAACTACTACAAGGTAATGCCCTCCCAGACTGCTAGAATTCCCAAAGGATGAACATGAGCTGATAGTGGACCTTTATTCGAGGAAATACTGTCATGTTACAAGCTGGGTTGCGTCTGAATTTTACAAAATTATTCATATACTCACCCAGCACATCCTCCAGCTGGGCTGTTCAGTATGGCAATCACCAGCTACGTGACCTTCTATTTTAATTCACTAAAATTAAATTTTAAAGGCCGTTCAGCCACACTTGCTATACTTCAAGTGTTCAATGGTCATATGTACCTGGTGACAGCCACCCTGGACACCACAGGTGCAAAATACTTCAGAACATCATTGCAGCACTGCTCCAGAGCATCAAATTGACGGCTACTTTAGTCCATTACCTAGCAGGGCATATTCTGAGTACTTAAGAGGCTTCTATTTAAATTAGAACTAGGAAATAAAACCTTATCAGAATTAAACAGTCATATTACAATTTCAGGAGCTATTTATCATTCAAGTATTTTTAAAAGTACTGCTTAAATGCAAAATGCACAAAAAGAGCAGTAGTTGTTATACAATGTAAGTAGTCCTAAAGAAAAAAAAGTGCTAAGAAGACTGATTTCATTAAAAGGTGCCAAAAGGACATCAATTATGCTCTGAAATGGCAATTTGATTAAATAAAAGAACCAAACTGCATAATAAACACAAGAATCTTTCTATTTATGTATCTGCAGTAGAAGCCCAGTGTTTTATGTAGCACCTGCAGCCCTACTTGTGCACCGGCAATATGTACTTAATAACTGACTTCGCAGGTCCTTAGCAACAAGCACCTCCAAATATTCTAGTTTCTTAAACATTTTCACAGTTTAACATAGGCAAAGAAAAATTACCTAATGAAAAGATTCATTCACATTATGACAATTTAACAAATTAACTTCAAGATTATCAACTATATAAAATTTTTAACTACATAAGATTTAGTGATTAGTAAGGGCTGGAGATTTAGCTCAGCGGCATAAGCGCCTGCCTTGTAAAGCAGACAGTCGTGAGTTTGATCCCCAGTATTGATAAAAAGGAAAAAGACAAAAAAAAAAAAAAAAAAAAAGATTTATGTGATTAGAATCACAGACTCAAGTATCACAGACATGGACATAACCTTTTTACTTTTTAGGAGGAGGGGAGCTTTTTGGCAACAGAATCTTGCTATGTAGTTCAGGATGGCCTTGAACTCACTAGAGAGCCCAGGCTGGACTGAAATTCATGGTGGTCCTCCTGTCTCAGCCTCAGCTTTCCTAGTACTGGGACTGTAGGTGTGTGCCACCAAGTCTGGCATGATCTGAGTTTTTAGACTGAGTTGAAATAGACCAGTCTCTTTAAAAATTTCATCAGAAAACTATTCTGCTTTATTTTCTGAAGATACTATCCAAGAGCAAAATGGGTATCAACCTAACAGTGCTACAGATGTGATCAGTGAAATGGAGGAAAAAAAGAGGCATTTGGAATACACTATAATTGAATAAAAACAATTCATCAAGAGGTATATCAACTGAAAATTAAACTTGACTAATACAAAAATTTAGAAAGATTACAAATCTAATAAATTCAAATAAAGGTGTCTCAAAAGTAGTTAATAAAGGCAGCTGCATTGAGAGTATGCTTTGTTAAATGGAACTATATTCTAAAATGGTTTTGAGTTTTAACTGACATAATAATTGTACATATTCATGGTATAAAATCGTTTGATGTTATAAAACAATTCCTTCTCCACATTAGAATTTTATAATCTAACTGTGAACTGAAAGTCTCACTATAGAAAATCCAAGAATCATCAAGCACCACAAAGATTTAACTAAAATTATATTTTCTCTAGATGTAAAACTGACAATACTTGCTTACTAATATGACCTGTTTAACTAATATGCTAAATACTAATATTTACTAATATAAACATGAATTTAGAATGTGAGAAACAAACCAAGTTGTACAAACCAATTATAAAATATTTATATTTTATATAAATATAAAGATATTTTATATAAGTATAAAGATATTTAAGTATCTTCAGTATAACACTAAGGTATTTAGAATCTCTTTCCAGGAATTTTAGGAAAGAAGATCAGAAAGGTCAGCAGCCCCCCCTCCCAAGGAGCTCCTGAACTCACCATCTGTAAGATGGCTCCGTACAGCCGTAGGAGCACTTTCCGAGGTTCGTCGCCCACGGAGGCTGTGGTGTCAGGGAGGGAGCACTGGAACAGCATGTTACTGAGGCCACCCCTGTGGGAATCAGAAGATGATGAGGACTCGTACTGCAGAACTATGGCCCCTCTTGGTAAGTACTACGGATGACAAGTCAGGCTTATCAAAGAACTGTTCTCGTCTAAGCTCCATATAGTTTCTCAGGATACACGGGACATGAATGAGAAGCTCCACTTTTCACTTAATTCCATGAGCCAGATTAAAACTGAAATGCCCAATCTTTTTTCCAAGCACTGAGTTGTGGAGCTTTTTGTTTTTGTTTGTAAACAAAACTACTTGTGTATACCTAGACAATGACAAGAACTGAAGAGGAGCCTCCTCAGCACTGGGAATAGGAACATCCCATAATGCATCCCTTTAAGCTCATACTCTTATAGAATCCAAGATTTCCATTATATAAACTTGTCTCCTGGGGGTTTTGTTTGTTGTTCTGTTTTGCAGGGCTAGGTGGGAACCCAGGACCTCATGTTCATGCTTACTAGCAAGAACTCTACCAATGAGCTACACCCTCAGATCCACCATCATACACCCATAATAATCCTATAAAATCTTGGGGCAAGCCAGTGTGCTAGTGCACACCTGTAATTCCAGCCATTCAAGAGGATGAGGCAGGAGAATTTCAAGTTAAGGATATTACTGGGAGGAAAAAAAACATCTTGGGGCAATCAACCCTTTTTCATCAGGTCTTCCCACTTACTGTGTAGTTCCAAGATCTCTGCTAGTGTTTAGTAAAAATTTCTCAACTGATTTTGAGTCTCTTCAAAAATCCTGCAACATTTATTGTTACTAGAGCTCTCCATGAAGCCCAAAGAAACCTCAATAGCCTACAATCAAATTCAGCTGTCTCCCAAGACCAAAAGCACAGTTACAAAACTATTTACACAGGAAAACAGGCCTGGGACAAATTATCTGCCTGGGTTGAAAATGATCAGGCATAGAAGGTTAGTTATGCAATAAATGTAGAACACAAAATACTACACAATTAGGAATTACACATAAGAGGTACTTCAGCTGTGGTAGACTTCAAAGTCCCTAAATTCTACTCTTATCAATAAATCTTAGCAACTATTTACTACATAAGCAAGCACTGTGATAGAAAGCATAGGCAACATCAGTCAAAACATGAAGCCACACACCAATAATCCCAGCACTCTCTGGAATGCTGAGAGGAAGGGGTCTCAAGTATGAGCCCAGCCAGGGCAATTTAGTGACTCATGAGACTCTATTTCAAAAAATAAGCACCAGACATGATGGCTCAGACTTCTAATCTCGACACTCAGGAGGCTGAGGCAGGAGGATTATTTCAAGTTTGAGGCCAGACTGGACTACATATGAGTTCAAGAACAGAACCACATAGCAAGAACCAAAAATAAAAAATGGGGGGGGGGAATACAATAAAAAGGGCTAGGATATAGCTCAGAGACAAAACCCTTAGGTTTATTCCCCATACTGCAAAAAGAAAACCCAACTGAAATGTCCTCTTGTTTCTCCCTTCAAGAAATTTCTGCTCTGCCAGGTGCAGTGGTGCATACCTGTAAACCTAGCAACTGGAAAGGCTGTAAGACAGGAAGATTAAAGTTTGAGGCCAGCCCAGGCAATTTAAATTGTAAGACCATGTCTCGAAAAGGACTAGCTAGAGACGTGACTGGATATCCAGTATTTTTAAAAGAAAGAAAAAAGAAAAAAAAACCTCCTAAGGGAAATAAAAGTCAAAAATCTAAGAAATGGCACAAATCCACCTTACAGTTCTGGGGTTCTGAAATCTAAAAATAGGTTTGTTTGTTTGTTTGCTCTTTTATTTTTTTATTTTTTTATTTTTTTTTTATTTTTTTTTGTTTGCTCTTTTTGAGACAGGGTTTCTCTATGCAGCCCAGCTGGTCTTGCCCTCATGATGATTCTCCTATCTCAGCCTCCCAAGTGCTAGGATTACAGGTGTGCACCATCATGCCTGGCTTGAAAACAGGTTTTATAATGGCTAAAATTTGCACAGATCACTCATGATACTATAAATGGAAAGAGATGCTGACTGGGTCCTCATAAGAGCTACTAGTAGAAAAGAAGGATCACTGATGTTTTTTTTCTTTTGTCTCTTTGAGACAGGATCTCCCTATGAAGTTCAGGCTGGCCTTGAGCTCAGTTTGTAGCCCGGGCTGGTCTCCAACTCCCAACAATCCTCCTGCCTCAGCTTCCCAAGTGCTGGGATTACAGGTGTGAGCCACCACGCCTGGCTGGATCACTGTTTAATGGGGATGGAATTTCAGTTGAGAAGGTTCATGCATATTACAACAATGTGCATGTGTTTAACAGCATTGAACTATACACATTAAAAAAGTTTTCTGTTTTTTTTTTTTTTTTTTTTGTCTTTTTCGTTTTTTTATCGGTACCGGGGATCGAATTCACGACTACTGCCTGCTTGGAAGGCAGGCGCTTATGCCACTGAGCTAAATCCCCAGCCCTAAAAAAGTTTTAAAATGGAGTTTGAAGCCACCTTCAGCAATCCAGCAGGACTTTTTCTCTCTTGCTCACTCGCTTGCTCTCTGGAGAGACAGTGTATTTTACTAAAGATTGAACCTTTCAAGGACTTCAAATTGAGCTGTATTCATATCTCTTTTTGTTTATTTTGAGATAAGGTCTTGCCAAGTCACTAAATGGCCCAGACTAGAAGTTGAACTTGGGATCCAGTGGCCTCATCCTCCAAGAGTGCTGGGATCACAAACATGTGCAACTATGCCTGGCTCCTTGTTCTCTTTCTCTTTGTGTGGTATTAGGAATTAAATCTAGGAGTGCTGAGCTAAATCCCCATCTCTCTTACATTTTATTTTGAGCAGGAACTCAGTAAGCTGCCCCAGGCTAGCCGCACACTTGTTATCCTCATGCCTCAACCTCCTAAGTAGCTGGGACTATAGATTTGTGTTGCTACTCCTAATAAGACCTTGTCTCTTAAAAGGAATAAAGTGCTAACAGATGCTACATGCAACACTGTGAATCGTAAAAACATTACATTAACTAAAGAAACTATTCACAAAACTCCAGGTTATATGAAACACGTAACATGTGAAACATCCAGAGCAGGGAATCTATAGCAACTGAAAGTACATTAATAGTCACCAGGACTAGTATAGGGGGTGGGGAGGCAGGAGGTGGCAACTAAAAGGGACAGTGTTTTCTTTTGAGATGATGAAAATATTCTACAATCAACTATAGAGATGGCTCCACATATCTGTGAACATACTAAAAAGCACTTAATTGTATACTCTAAATGAGTGACTATAAATGGTACAGTAGTGAACTATAGCATAATAAAACTGTTTTTAAAAAAAAGAAAAAAGCAATGTGATTTGTTTCCTTAATCAGCTAAAAAATCTAAATGTGCTTCTAGACAATTTTCGCCACATTTAAGTATGTTATAATTAAGAAGTTTTCTGCTATCCTCTGGAGCAGCAATTCCTCCAAGTAGTTTATCAGAATCCCTGGCCACATCCAGCCAACAACCAAAGTGGGCTTCTGGTTACCAAGCAACAGGACGGGGATTATTTCTGAATTAAAAGCCCTTGTTTTTCTTCTTGTCACATACTCTTGAATGCTCAAATAAATGCCAGGGCAAACAGATGAGCTACTGTTCTAAACTGTGTGACGTGACCTAAAGTTTGTCCCCTACTCCCACACAGAAGGAAGGAAGGCTGATTTGGCCAAAAGAAGCTCACAACCTGGAAATCATCTATTGTGTTCGCTGCACTCTCTGTGGCTCACAGGCTTTAATGACTAAGCTGTCAATTACTATTTAGTAAAAGCCAAATTGAGTGAAGCAAGGTCTTTGGCACCAATGCCTGAAACTGTGAGATCTTAAAAAAAAAAAAAAGCCAGTGATCAGTAAGTCAAATACTATGACTGGTAACAAGAAGATCTAGGTATACCAGGGAATGTTTGTAATTCTTCTAATAATTTTGATTTTTCTTATTTAACACTTTCTCTTTGAGTATTGGTGGGGGGGGATATAGGAAAATGTCTGTGAAATTGGGCTCTAGTCAATTGAACCTTTCCTGCAAACTTCCTTGTTCTATCCAATAATATTCTGGGTATTTTCCAGGACTTTTATACCCAGGCTGCCTTTTGATTCCTGAAATGCCTGACTGAATCCTATAAAAGGCCAAAAAGTTATTCATTCATAAGAAGATACAATAGCAAAGACCAATTTACTTTTTGGTGGCTTTTCCATCCTTGATTTAAGAGAAAGTACTAGATCTAGCCAACTTGTTTTTCTCTGCCCCACTTATCTTTCCGTGTGTTGGATCCACTGTTCCAGGGTCTGTGTCACAATCCTTTCTAACCAACTAAGGAAACCCATAAAACAAAAACCTGGAAAGATGAAGGTAGTAAATTCTCTTCTTTTGCTTTTGTCCACCACCTTTCAAGTATATTACTCTGGCAAATAGCTAGGCTTAATGGCTATCTCCAGACTCTAGCAGAAGGAACAAATGAAAGCATGGCATCTGACTTCAAAGGCACAGGTCAGCCACTGGACATCACCTGGGAGACCTGCAGTGGGTCTGCTCTCCACTGAAACACAGACCATAAGCCTTTCATCCTCAGCAAAGACTAGCCTTGCCTCCTTTGAAAGCCCTTCAGGATGGGACCCCACGACACAGCCCTTAATTCATCATTCCCTCTCCAGCCATAATGTAATACCACCTTGTTTCCAGAGCACACACAGATCAGAGGCAGCCTCTCAAAGCCTTTCCCATCTTACCAAACACTATACTCTCATCAAGCTGGCTATGAAAACTACTATTCAAGACTCATTGCTCTGAAAAGCTCACATAGACTATAAATATACTCCATGTACGTAAAAAGCAGTCAAATATGAGCCAATGTCACCAAAACCTCTGCAGCCAAAAATATAATGTATTTAATCTGTTATCATATGACCCACTTTAAAACCCATTTAAACTCAAAGCATCTAAAAGTTGACAGGAAGGGCTGGAGATTTAGCTCAGTGGCATAAGTGTCTGCCTGGTAAG